GGCCAGCTGACCACTACCAGGGTTGGGTCCCTGGCTCCCTCCGGTTGCTCGAGCAACCTGCACCTGGGCTCTTTCACTACTACTCCACAAGTAGCAGGCATTTCAGTGCCCTGCTACACTGTCCTGCAACAAAAATCATGTTCGTGGTACTCCAAGATGGTCTAAAGCCACACTGGGATTGTGGAAGGACAGCTTTGCCAAAGGGGAGGAGGTGATTCAGAAGGATGCGAGTAAGAATCTTCCTGGCAGTAAAGAAGAGGGCAGTGCCTCGGTAGTTCCCATACACTGACTTGTCCCCTTTCTTAAAGAATGCCAATATTGTGACCATCTTCAAGTCAGGTGGAACTTCCTTGTTAACCCATATTTTGGTGAGAAGGTGATTTTTTTGTGTTAGTATTGTTCCACCAGGTCTGAAGACCTCTGTGGAGATGCCATCTGGGCATGGGCGACTGGTGCCACCTTAGTCAGAGGGAGGCCACATGCTCCCCCCCAGCGACCAGTCAGCATCCCCCCACGGCCAATCTCGCCAACCAAGGCAGGGGGTTCCCCACGTTCAATCTTGCTGACTAGGGAGGAGGGAGAGTCCCCTGTGGCCAATCTCACCAACTTGTGGGGGGGGGATTCTTGCCCCTTCCTCCCCCCAGGCCAATCTTGACGACCAGGAAGCAGCCACAGCATTCCCAGAAGTGGTTGTGGCACTTCTTCAGGTGCTCCCACTCCTCGGCTGGCGTTCGCAGGGGGGGCACTGGCACTTCCACCTGCCTCACCTGCCCATCACCTAAGTGGGGAGCGCAGCCTGTCAGGAGGTGCACCAGCACTCTCAGGGGGTGCACGTGCACACCCTGCACATCGTTGCTGCATCTGGGTCTGGCGCCTTATTGTTCTTGGTCTGAGTGATGGCATGCCAGACTTCCTTGAAGGATGGGGGATCAGCAAGAGGTTCTGTTACTGACTGTTGAGGGATGGACTCGATAGTAGCAGCTGAGACCTAGATTCACACTTGCGTAAAGTCTTGTAGCTCCTTCTAGCGTTGCTTGATGGATACATTGTCTGTGAGGAGGGTGGAGCCATCCTGAGATCACAAGGGGGTTGAGCTATTGGAATGTGGCCCGTGGATGACCTTTATTGCTCTGGATCTCCATGTCCTTTGCTTGCTACCACTAGTTTCATAGTTTCACAGTAGCTAGGGTCAGGAGGGACCAGAACAGATCATC